CAACTCAGTTGTTATCATATCTTCTTGAATAAAGAATAAGCGAATGGCCCAGATGTTTGGTTTGTAATATCTTCAGACCCTATAGTTCCAGCTAATCGGCTGAAGGTGTAAACCGTATTGCGTGTAGATATTTCTCTTAATGTGGGAGAAATAGACGTCATTGCTCATCCAAACTGCTAAAACGTGTCTGCTTGAGCAAAATGTCCGTATATGGCTGCGTTAAAGCTCAAAATGGAAAGTGGCTGAATGAACATAATATCACATATTTTTTGTAAAGTTGATCCGTTTCATTCTTTATTGACTCTCTTTTTTAATGACACTTTTACCAAATTTTTCTCTGAGCTACATAGGGCTTGCATGCACTATGTTATTTTTCCAGTTTGTTCTTATGCATTAGCTTCCCGTTGCAATATAAGACCATATGGACACAGGGAGCCCACAGAAACGAAAAGTAGGCTTGAAAATCTCCGAATTGAAGCGTCCAGAAGAGGGGAATGCGCTATTACCTACACAACTTTTTGGGTTATCCAGTGTGGAATCAATGATAATTTGACAATTTTCGATCTTTTATTTTCAATTTTTCGTTCAATTTTCTCTATCAGGCCCTTGCAAAAAGATTTGGAGGTTTGTTATGATATGAAGTGGCATTGCGAAATTTGCTTTTCCTTCGTTAGATCAGTGTATGTTCTCCAAACCAAACTATTTCTTTTTTAATAATATTTTGTATGATAGAGTAATATTTGGAAATTAGGGCATTTTAGATGAGACTCAGGCATGCAGTGTACGTGTAACGAGCTTCAGCAATATGTAATTATGTGAACGGCCTCAGCTGGCAATAAAAGCAATTTCAAGGCTATTTGTGATCAAATTAGGATGCCCTGTGATCGGAATCTGTTACAGGGGACAAACTTCATGCATGGCCACTGGAAATATGCCCAACCCGCTACATCTACACGGAATTTCTCCATGTGCCAGGCAAACCTGTAGATCATACACAAATACTTAAAAAAAATTCTTTAATCGTAGCTTTATTGAAAATCAGAATGATCTAAATTAATTACAAAATAGCTTGCGACTACTTTCATTGATAACAACGGTACTAGACTATTAGGAAAGTGATGAAAAAACAACTAAACTTTGCAAAAACTTTTGATGATTAATGATAACGCATATGCCCTCAAGAAAGAAGTCTTGTTTTGATACGTCAAAAAAGAATAACTGCTTCCCGCGGAATCCACACTCCTGGGATGCAATGCCAGCCACCTACGAGAACAAACGAAAATTAACCGTTTAGGAGAAATTAGGTGCTAGTCACTCTTAGGGGTTCAACGGTTTAAAGTTTTTTTTTCCTTTACAATATGCTACTCAGATACATTCCAAATCAACTGGTAAATGTGGGGAAATAATTGACATTTTTACTGTGTTAAGATTGTACATGTATAAGAGCTTGAGAGGTAAGACCTCTTCAGATTTCCTCAAACGGTAGGGAACGTCATTTTTCATAATTCTAATGGGTTTGCCTTCCAAACTGATCACTAAATTGTATAAAGTGCCCAAATTTGAAATGGCAGGTTGTTATTTGGAGGCTGTTGTTTTGATCGAACACCAAATTTTACAAAAAAATTTACATGGACATGCAAGCGACTAAAAGTGAGAATTAGTTCAAACAAATCTTGAGTTTGAATGGTTTAACTTGGTAGTTCGCAAAATTAATTATATTAACGTAAGGTATGCGATGGTCACAGATAATGTCTTTATGGAAAGGAAAAGAAAATATGTAACCACTATCTTACTTCTTGACTATCAGTTGCTTTGAAAAACGTTTCAATAAAATCACAACAAAGAAAGCGATCCGAAGTGTCGATGTAGTACCAAACTTTGTTATCAAGATAAGCCAGGTGGAGTCGTAAAAATCACAAAAGATATGTAGATAGAACAAGCCGACAAGAGAGAGAATTGAAATTATGCGCAGAGTGGTGAAATTCTAAACGTTTTCAAAATGACTTCTCTTAGAACCCAGAGTGAAAATAGAAAAAGCAGTCTAGAATTTTCAAGGACTTTAGGTTGATTATTAGCAATAAAGTTATGCTTACTTTTTCTAAGTTAGAATCAAAATTATATGATGACTTGTACAAACAACTTCTCGTATATAAAACAGTCAAAGTTACTTTCATGTCAGAGTTTAATGTCCAGTTTTACTCACTGATTTTGAAAAGGCTTATTGGTCTCCGCAACCGCAGATGGCACAGTTGCCAGGGTCAAACCTATTGCACAATTTTTGGCAGAATTGGTTGCACTTTGAATCTTCATCCCTCTGGATCTTATCCCAGAATGCTTTAAGTGGGCTATATTTTGCTAAAAGTGAACGAACTTTATGTCAGGATAGAATACAATCTTATTAACAATACATTTTAGTATCATAGCTAAGGTCTGGAATAGCTTTGGGGTTGTAGTTTTTTTTCCTAAATTGACAGATACTATGGTTTGTTATGGGAAAATTCTCTATTGATGGATTGATTTAAAATCGATCATATATTTCAGCATCTTTCTTTCCAGATGCCTGTTAGCTACAGGGTTTCAAGGGTGTTCCATTTTGGACTTCCAGATCGTGATATAGCATTCTGTTTATCACAAAATAAAAGTAGTGTGTTTGGAATTGCAAAAAAACCAACAAAATAAACTTACAGATGAGTCCACCATCAGGTGTGTCTCTATAACTAAAGGTTTCTTAAAGATATGCGCAGATTTGGCAAAAGAGCTTTTGGCAGTGTGGGGTTGGGCACCAGTTTCGAAACACGTTTTTAAAGTAATAATTTTAGATATATAAGATTCATATATTTGCACTGCGGTGAAGAAACGAATATAAGAGATCCTCGCAGCTAAAAACACTACTGAACTACTGGTTGAAATAAGAGCTGAAAAAATTTTTTCAGGTCCGTACGGGATTTGAATCCATGGCCTTTGCGATACTGGTGCAGCGTTCTACCAACTGAGCTAACAGGCCAACTGGGAGCTGGTCAATATGTTAGGTCCAAATAAACCATCTAAGTGATGAATAATGATTTTAGATATATGAAATTCATATATTTGCGCTGCGGTGAAGAAACGAATATAAGAGATCCTAGCAGCTAAGAACACTACTGAACTAGTAGTTGAAATAAGACCTGAAAAAAAAATTTTTATTTATCAACTACTAGTTCAGTAGTATTCTTAGCTGCGAGGATCTCTTATAAACGTTTTTAAAGTTTTGCAATCTCTTGCACATTTCCTCAGACAGTGGCAATTGAACAGTCATTCATCATTAGAACAACAAAGAAAAAGGCATCTGTTACAGCAATATGCAATTGAATTTGTTGACAACATAACATTTTGCGACTACTCTGTTGGAAGTTGTTAACGATGGCAGAGACACGAATGAAATCGTAGGCAACTTTAGGCTTTCGAAAGAAATAAAGCTCTAAATTGAACTGATCTGGGCAAGTGATCGCAAAACATGATTTACAGACAAAGAACGCAAACTTTCGCAAGACTAGGAAAGTGTCCACTCCCGAAGAAATTTGTAATATATATTTTTTTTCTTCAAGTCTGCTAGTGGGATATGTTAGTTGTAAGACGGTTATTTACCTTCTCGCGGTGATTCCGGTTTGTCCGAATAACGAACACGTGACGTCACCAAGACGATCATGGCTGCCAGTATGATAACACCAAGGGTCCTCATGATCACAAATGTGCTCGACGTGGAATCCTGTTTCGCAGAGGAAACTAAAAGGATAAAAAAAAGGAAAAAAAATTCCTTGGATCAGTACTTAAAATTTGAACTAAAGTGACACTGCCTTCGCTTTTGATCCTGTCTATTTCTCTCAGCTGGTAACAATACAGTTCTTTGTGGTCGAGCTTTGAAAATTCCGAGTTAAACTCCTTTTTTTCATATTCTCTCAGTTTCTCAGGCAAAGTGATGAAAAAATGGGGGGGGGAGGGGACTTGTCTCTTTAGACTTCCTTGTGGTCATTATGAATTTACAGCAGTTGGTTAGCAATTGGTTCGTACGTCAGCGTGCGTTCATCGAGATGTGAAGCACGTGAAAAGTTTGGAAAGCACGAAAGATGCTCTAGCTTCTTGAGTGCTCTCCAAACTTCCCAAGTGTTCCATATCTCGATGAACGCACAGCTGACGTATGAACCAATTGTTTTATAACATTTTCAAATTTTTTCTCTCGAGGGATTTGTTTGCTGACTTCATGAGCGTGCACAGTAGGAATATAAAGCACGCTCACGCGATTGAATTTGACTAGACAAATTTACACACTATGTTATAATAAATTATGTCCTAAAGTTGAATGCTCAACAGAGAGCTAAATCATTAGTATGTGCTATCAAATGGTAACGTGTGAACTAAGGTAATAATTTCGCGCGCATTTTGGAAAAGGTCCAACAACTTCACAAGCCTTTAGGCGAGGGAAATAAATCGAATTTTTAAAAATTTCTCCTTGCTGTTTAAAAAATATTGCCTATAATTTTTCGTGAATAAAATGATACGAGCACCAGTTTAGGATGCACTCAAAATTTCGCTCGACGCCTTTCATATGTCAGACTTTGCTTTAAAGTATAAATTATTCATTATAAATTATAAGTTTTGAATTAACGCTGAGATTTCGCGCCAAAATGAAGGAGTAATTTCTCATCCATGACATGATCAAAGAGTACTCAAGAAGAGGTTAAGTTGTGCGATCTGTCATAATTCAGTGTACTTCGGTTTCAATGTATATTGAAAAGATTCCGACTCCTGGTTCAGAGTTCCCCTAAAATTCATAACTTCTCGCACTTCACGTTATAGCTTGCCAAGACAGACGAGACCATAAAAGCCTATTGCACAACGCATATAAAAAATGTCTAAGATATTCAAACGCCCTTAAATACTACATAATCATTATTTGGGTTCATTTTGCTATCAAACGTTTTTTGAAGACCTATATCAGTTCACCACACAGATTGTTTCCAACCGAGTTGTTTGAAACTCGAGGAATTATTGATAGAAGCCATTACTACTGTTAAGTGTCCCGGTAATTCATCACTGGAAGTTCAATTGATGTAACAGTGCAGCAGGAGATGCCTTCCCCAAACAAAAAATAAACAGAACCAGTTTGATAGGTATATTGCAATAGAAGAGACAAACTCACCTCTTCTTGTCAAGTTACTGGCTGAACTGTATAAAGATGTTCTACCAACTGGCGAGGGGTTCATATACTAAATTCAAATATGCCTCAAGACAAAATGATGACGTTACTTTCTTTTATTGGCCTACCATTTTGATGAAAAGATAATACCTACTGCGAGGAACAATGATTCCAATTTGAGAAGTGGGTTGGGCGTGTTTTGAGCAAACTTTTTGTCTGACTGACATTTTTTACACGGCCCCATTAGCTATATTGGCTTTAAAACCCACCTATTTAAAAAAAAAAGACGTTGTTGTTATTGTTGTTATCAATTATGGTTTGTCCACGATTTCTTTTTTCGAAGGATTGACTCGGCAGATAAGTAATGTGATTGCTTTTTTACTTAACACAACATAGATGATCGAGAAGAAAAGCTTGTCGAGGTTTTCTTTCGTATTGCCCCTTCTGCCTGATCCTGTTTTGCATTCATACGCCATGCATATTTTTTTTGAGGGGTGGGGTGCGGGAGATGGGGGAAGGGAAGGCGAAAAGTGGAAGGAATTGTCCAATTTCTTTTAAAGCTGTATATTCGTTACGACTACATTTAGCATCTTGATAAATTCGTACACTTTCTATCTTCACTGCAAGTTATCGTGTGGCTGCCTAAAATAACCTGTTGGTTAGCGAAGTAAGACAGCCAATTGATGTAATAAGTAATTAAACAGCAAATTGCAAGTCGGCAAGACGGAACCAGTTCATACATATATATATAATGGAGCTAATGACTGGTATAAAGTCTAGAGCCTCTTAGCCACACCTCGACAAACTCTTACACCGTTTCGTGCTCTAAAAATTTCCCGCGCACTTCATACCTCGATGAACAAGCACTGAAGCGTATACAAAGTGTGAAATAGTCTTTCAAAAGGACCTTATTAATGCAAAAATTATCATGCTGTGCACGTGTAACACTGAATCTATTTCAGATTGAACACCCTTGAATTGAAATATTTTCGCTTCAAGGCATCTTTAGTTAAAAATGTGCTTGGACAATTCGTGCAGAACTATGGATAAAGGCATTAACAAAGTAGGGATAGAAAATCCTAGAGGCAAATAGGCTATTTTACAGTTGTGTATTGAGTTTCGAAGCCTTTGATTTGGAGTGAGGCTGAAGGTGACCTTGTTGTGATAGAGACCAGTATCCAGTTAGCAAGACAACAAAGTAATTTGCATTAGAAAAGCAGCAAGGTTTGTATCATAACAGGGTCAACCATAGCCTCACTCCTGTTCAAAGGCTTGGCAACGAAGCACACAACTGTAGAATGGACTATTGTTCAGCGAGTTGGCAAGCAAATGTTTGTCTAAGTTGATGACAAAGAGGCATTGATTGTTCTTTCGACCAGTAAAGAGAAGTGAATCGACATATCAAGAGAAAAACTGTCAATATGATGTAAACATCTAGTGCCGCACAGCCAGAAAAATGGTGAAAGAAAGAGTAAAATGAAATATGTAGACGCCATATTCTGTGTTTTTTAATTTATTTTTAGAGCAGACTTTAACTCTTCATTTGCTATTCATACAAAAGATGGGCGTTGGTAATCGATGACCTGTCTTGCGAAATATATTCTCAAGTCACCCACTCAATTTTGCAGTGGGAGCATTTCCTCCATTCATCTGTGTTTTGATATGTTCATACGCTTGGAAAACTGATGTTTCATTTATTCTGAAAACTTTAAGGAACTGCTTGATTGAATCCACTACCGCTGTTGTCGAGTACACTCCGACGGGGTCAAAAGTAAACATGTTTATTTTTCAATCAGCAATTTTAATGAATGATCGTTAAGTTGAGTCGGACCTTTTAGAAAGTGATTAGTAAACCACCCTATCCTTGTCGGTAAAACAAGTATCAGTAATTGCTTTTTTGGATCAACGATTTTCAAAGAAATTGGCGTTCTGGGTGACATGTGAAGTGGTCTCTTGCTGAGACGGTTTTCTTGAAAGGTTTGTTTCCTTTGAAAATGAATGAAGGATTTTTCACGGATCGTTGGAATATGCTCTGTCTACTATATAAATTTCTTTTTTCATTCTGGTGTGCTTACCCAATCAGAATAAAATTGTTACAAGTATCTTATAAACTTAATAATAATAACTAAGCGAACTTTAGCGTCAAAAGATCGTTTTTGTTGTTCGTGTACTTAGTCAACTGAACTCTTCTTTTATTCGAACACTATCTTTTGTTCGCAAAAATTAGCACGGCTGCTCACCACTTGAATGAAATTAAAACGTTTCCGTTGTCTTTCGGGCGTGAAATTTTCCTTGCTTTGCTGTGGTAGTCAAACATATTAGCAACTATTTTCGATTTGATAAAATTCCTCTCTTTTCGAGGGGGAAAAAATTGGCAGTAAACTTAGGTATTCTTAGCAGGTAATTTAATGTTAACTACTGAATTGAAAACGTTAATTGACCACCATAAAGAGTTAAAAGGCTGACGTTTCGAGCGTTAGCCCTTCGTCAGAGCTATTAGAACGAAGGGCTAACGAAGAACCAATCGCTATGACGAAGGGCTAACGCTCGAAACGTTAGCCTTTTAACTTTTTACGGTGGCCAATTTACGTTTTTAACTCAGTGGTTAACACTAAATTACCAGCCATACTCTCCCACCGACGCAGCACCACAGTTTCTTTAGAAGCTTCTCCCTTTATTCAAAAGGTATTCTTAAACTATCGGACTTCCTTTAAGTATTTGGTGCTCTTCTTTGCTTCCCTTAGGAAATGAAACACTATGCTTAGATGGGGGGTAACTCTCAATGGACTGCAAGATAACATGAACTTTTCTCTCGGAGACTTGCGTTCTGTTTAGATGAAAAGGTTAAGTATTTTCATGCTTCCCATGCCGTGACAAGCCTCTGTATCATGAGGGTTATGGCTTTATATCAACCATGAGTATTTTTAAGTGAGTACTTATTCACGTTTCGTGGGTCGTCAAGTATTCATATATTCCCACTATTGCCTGGGTCCTCTTTGCTCGGAAATGCATAACCGCTTGAGAAATCGGATGGCCTTTGATGAATGTTGAAAAATGTTCTATTTTTTTGGCAGCATCAAAAGGGCAACAACAACTTTAAATACCAGTATTTTTCTTTGAATTCCTAAACCACAAAACAAGGAGGGTGGAATTTGAAAGGCCACTAACTCTGATATAAGAGGCATAAATTAGGACGCTCAGTTCGCCCCGTTGTTGCGTGTTTCTTTCTTTTGGTTTTAATGCATCCATTCCAGTTTTCCTTATACCCCAAAATGTAGCATTTAGATTTGTTGTCTTTATTTCATAACCATGATAGAACTTGGGTGAAACTTGAAAGATTGTAACTCGGATAATATCCACCACTAACCACCTACTCTTCGGTGAATAATTATAATTGTTAATTAGAATAATTATAATCATGATAATTATAATAATAGATTGTTTATTTCTCAATGAACACCAAAACTGGGAATTGCAGAACCAGCTAAAATCTTTATTGCAGTCTATGCTAACTACATCCTCACTCAAAACGTATTCCTTAAGGAAAAAAAAACGGAATTTCTCCGCTGGCTAAAAGTTATCCGTACTGTGACCTTGCATAACGACTTACACCTATCAAATCTGATTGAAAATTAGCTAGCGACTACTTCGTATTAATATAACGATAGTAATCCCTTGAAAGCGTAATGCAAACTTATGAAACCTTGTAAAACTTTTGGTTTTATCAATGGCAACAGGCGGTTTTTTCGGATAACGAGCGCGTGACGCCACCATGACCATCATAGCTGCAAGTATGACAACGCAAAGGGTCTTCACGTTCACAGAGGAGCTTTACGTGAAATCCGAGGAGATATCTAATGAGAGAGAAAACAAAATTCGCTTAATTGAATATCAAAAAAAATAACCGCATTTAGCAAGCCGCAGAGTGATTCTGGCAGTGTAAGATTTACCTCCTCCTTTTCGAAACGCTATTAGCAATGCAAGGCTACATTCAAGGTCACCACAAACAAATGTTAATGTGAGGGAAGGGGTGAATTACTGAACTTTCTATTGATTTATTTATTTGACGCCCACGACTCGAAATCTTTTTTTTATCAAACTGCTCTTTCCAAACAAACTCTTTGACAATCTTTGCAGAAATCAGGTGTGATCTTTGAAAGAAAAAGCACAAATTAAAAAAAATTCTTGCATGTAAGGAGTCGTCAGCATGCGCAAAGATTAAAACGCTTGTTGTTTTGGGAGTTGGCGCGCAGATTGCTTGGTTCGGTGGGTGCCTAGCCTAAATAATAGGAACAATGCAAATTTAGGCTATCACGATTTCGTTACGATTAAATGGCGCTAAAAATAGAGATTGTATTCTTCTTGTTTTTATGACAGAAAGTTTCCAAAAATTAGAAAATGAAGTCTGACTCCAAAATTGACAGAAATAAGGTGTGATCTTTGAAAGATAGAAGCACAGAGTTAAAAAAATTTCAAGTCTGACATGTAAGGAGTCGTCAGCACACGCAAAGATGAAATGAATTATTGTTTCGGGAGTTGGCACCCAGATTGCTTGGTTCGGAGGGTGGCCAAGAGGTTTACTTAATGATAAGAACAATGCAAATTTAGAAAGTGTATTGGTTATGAAGGGTTCGTTACGATTAAATGGCCGACCAAAAATATAAATTGCATTCCTCTTGTTTTATGACAGAAAACTTCTTAAAATTACAAAGAAAAGCTTAGCTCCAAAAATAACATAATCTCTAATATCTGACAAAATTGGCTCCATAAATTTGCCAGTCGCCCGTTTCTATTGCATGTTTTTATGTTGCAAACTTTGACGTAAAAATAAATTGTGTTTCCATTCGACCATTATTAAGCAGTTAATTGACATTTGAAGTGATTGCCATTAATTTTGTTATGATGCAAATGCCAAAATCTACGCAATGAATTGTTTATCTGAGGGGAGATTCAATGATGCGTATTGTGAGCGACATTCCATTTAATGCTTGCAGTATGTCCACAATTTTTGTTCTATGTATGACTTTGCTCGTGAATGATTTGATTTGTTAGTTGTAAAGAAAGACACTGGAGAATAGCAAGGTTAATGGTAGTTCTCTTTCCTTTTTCCTTATTTAAACAAATCTATTTTGCGAATGGGAACAAAATTTCCAATATTCTTGAGAACTACATATTCTTTCTGGCAATGTTTACACGCCTTGTATATTTTTACTCATTCATGCCCAATCCAAACTTAATATGGCTTAAACTGAAACAAATTCTGGCCGACTGTGTCCTGCTCACTTCAATCACAGTGTCTAGCGAAGCCAAGAAGTTTGTGGTTGTAAGTATTTAAACACATGCAGGGTAAATTTCAAGCTAAGTTGGAAAGATAAGTACCAATTAACTAACACCTTCGCACTTAGAAGCTAATTGCTGGTACACGCTCAAAGCTCAGTAATACGCTTGCTTAAATTTAAAAGTGTGATCACTGCAATATTTGACAGTGCAACAGTTTAAGACACTTTCCAGTCGTCTATTTGATAAAACTTCAGTTGGTAAAGAGAGCAACTTCCGAAATTCCAAACTCCGAAAGAAACCTGACTTTTGCTAAACACTCCCGCTCTTGGTGTTTTCCTAAAGATATGATTAATTGGACCATGAATCGAAACCTTTCTAAACGAACGAGTCTTTCGTGTCGGGTGTTGGCGCTTTAACTATAAACTGTTTGGTTGGGTGGATGACTAAGAAATTTACGTAATAATAGGAACAATGCGAGTTTAGAGAATATATTGGCTATCACAATTTCACTCCGACTAAATGGCGCCAAAAAAAAAACGCATTCTTCTTGCGTTATGAAAGAAAGCCACTGAAAAAAGAAACGAGGAGAAGCCAGACACCAAAATTGACTCAATTTCTGTTTGACCAAAACGCCTCCATAATTTGGTTGTTCGCCCCCGTCTGTTACTTGCTTTCAAGTAGCAAGTGAAATAAATTACGTGTTCTTTGGACCATAACTGAGCGGTGAATCGACATTTGAAGAGATTTAACTTCCTATAGGATGCAAATGTCAAAATCTTCACAGTAGACTAATGAATGAAAGAAGTGGGTCTAAAATATAAAGACAACATGTTCTGTTTGTTTAGAGTAACTAAGGGCACACTTTAGTTTTTTATTAGCCATACCATGATGTCAACGGTTGGGCGTTGGTGACCTCCCTTCTTAAAAAACAATGTGTTGTCGGAAAACAAGTCAATGCATCCCTTAAGTATTCCTATTAATTAGTGTTATCTTAACATCAAATCAGCGGCCTTGAAACCGCAGCAAATGGTTCAAAGATCATAGTAATTAATGCAACTTTGTATTTGATAGATCAACCTCTTGCGTTATTCGCAGCACCTCTCCATCTGGTTCATTTAAGCTTGAGGTACGTCTTTGCAATGTTTATTGGGTATTTCCAAAATACTGGCTCCCTCGACTTTCTTTATCTTAGACAGCGGAAATGGATCTTTTCGGTTGACAAATCCCTTCAAATTAGGTATTTAACGTGCCCAGAACTACCGACACTTTTACTCGCTTATACACATCCATAGCTTAGCAAATGTCGTTCATATTCGATTTAATATTCTATTAGTCAAGTATGAGCCTCTCCGCAAAGCTAACTTTTAATCGAAATTTCTATTTCAAACGAAGAACGTAAGATTCCATCTTTATTTGCTTCTGTGTATATGCAGGTTGCTTAACTCGTCAACACAAAGTATCGTTTCAATAATTATGATGATCAGTTGGCTGTGTTTGAAAAGTTAGCTCTGAAATGTTCCTCAGTCAAGCTGGAAGCGGTCGGTGGTAAATAAACCGAAAGCAGTGATAAAGATAAGATGCTCCATATTTTTCTTCCATCATATCTTTTTATTTTAAGGACGGTTGTGCAACATGACTTGCGAAATTGACAAAAGTTTTATTGTCGCTATTCGCATTAGTATTCTGACCTCTCAACGAAATTTTTAGAAGTTTATAAAAATTTATTGAACCTAAGCAATCAAGCACAACAGTCTACAACGGAGGAAGGTAATTTATGGTCCAACTGTCGCCAAAAGGCTTCTTTCCATTGATTAGGGTCTTCAAGAAAACCACGTCGGTGACAGCGACGAGAACGAAGAGGAGCAAAAGGTTGTGGCATAAAAATTGGACAGTTCGTACGTTTTCTGGCACTGTTGGAACAGCAAATTTTGCACAACTTGAGAGTGGCAACCCAAACCCAAAAATATTCACGTTTCCACTTTTAATCCAATGCTCTATTCCCATGTTATGCCGAAGGAGAGACCTGGCGCCGGTGGGAGTAGTAATTCCATTGAGCTATTCGCGAAATTCTATGGCGAAACACTTGAGGCTTCCTTTTTAAGGGCGAGACATTTTCTCAGGCATTCGCCATAATGTCCTCTTAAACTCCCAAATTACTGTTATTACACCTTCATCCAGTCTCATCATAAGAGCAAGGCACGCTGTTTTAGACCATTTTACTCTTAAAAGTGATCACAATTTGAATTCTCCTTCAAAACTCAATGCCATGACTGTCTAAAATGCTCACACATTTGAATATTCGATACATAAAGTGATGAACACAGATCGTTGCACAAGTCTTCCCGACTATAGCTTTTTTTTCTAAAGGAACAAGAACTTATCTTAAACGAAGATAAAGAAATTCATCTATTGCATTTTGCCTCAATCATCCATAAACAATCCCTAAACAGAATAATAATTTGCTCTGCCCTCAAGCGTCGCCAACAAGATTATTTCCATTGATTTAGTGAACCAACGAAGAATATTCACAGACACTTATAAACGCATCAAGCTTAAAAAAACAAAACATCACACAATATGTCTTTGTCTCCTTTGCAGAGCTTTTGGTTCAGAATTTTAAATACGGTGCTGCAAAGGTTTAAACTTTTATGAGACGTTGGGAAATTGGAATTGCACAATTCCAGAAAATCGTTCAAGTAACTTAGGATGAAGAAGACCGAACTCTTTCTACATTGCCAGAATCGCCTGACCAGATTGTGGGTCATTTATTCCAATGCAGCAATTCATGATCATTGTCTCATTTTTCCTTTCAGACTTTATCCCGGCTTTTCGAGATACGTTGGCAATCATGCGGACCCTTTTTGTTGTCGTCCTTGCATCTATGATTTTCGTGGTGGCGTCACGTGTTCGTTATCCTAAACTACCGGAGTCACTGCGGAAAGGTATAAGGAGTGAAACCATTGCTAGCTCTCTTGATCCATGAGATCTGATTTTTAATTACCCCCGGCTGGCTATTGCAAATTTCTTCTAAAATAACTTTATCATATTAACTGCAGTATTTTACAAGGATTTCCAGCTCTGAGAAATGCTGCAACTGCACATGTGTAAAGTCACGATAATTTTTCACGTGTGTTAGATATCGCCAACCAGCTGCTGACACGTCACTCGCCTTCCGCGCCAATCAGATGGGTTGATGAATGTTCACCATTCTTCATCCGAGGTCCTTTATCGAAATTTTCATGTCCGTTAAGGCAGGCCCTTGGTATACATATGATAAACAAAATAACACATGTTTGCTTGTAAATATGGAATTCTTTCATCTTGTGTTCAACTCGATATCTCACTCATTTGCTAAGCTCACTCGTGAGACGTTGAGTTAAACACATGAAGACAAATTCCATATTGACATGGGCCTATATTTTATTTTCAAAGTATAAAAAATGTCGCAATGTCTTCATCCTGGTTTTAAGTGCTTTTGTGGATATCACCTTTTTAATGGAGAAAATCGAAATCGTGAAGATAATTTTTCTAAATGTATTTCTTCCCTTACTTTATATTTACAGAACAGATGACCAATTATAAAATAAGAATGGAAGGGAGCGAGGCAAGGAATTTTCTTTTGAAGAGAGAACCTGGTTGTCGTGATGCATGTTGGAAAAACTGCGAAGCTGAAAACGAAAGAGAAGGGTCGCGATCAAGCTGTAGCCATTGCTGTAATTAGCATGAACCCCGACTCTGGATCTAATGAAGCTGTGCGTGACTATATTGCGTTACTCTATTGTGCGAGTTTTTGCGGGATCTGGCTTTAGCGCTGGGACCCGGCCCCACGTTAATTTTTCGCTCAGCTTAGTAGAATCGTTCAGAATTTTGTACGATTTTTATAGTTTAATTAGTGCTATTCATGGCTTCACGGATGTTGATACAATTTTTAAGGTGTGTAAGGAGACTGTAAAAGTGAAAGGTCACAGATGTAAGTTTTAGTTCCATTGCAATTTGTTTTCTGCATTTCTGCTTAAATAAATCTTCACTCCACCAGTAATTGTGACTCATCGAAATCCAAGTTTTCGTTTCTTTTGCAATTTAGTTTTTGTTTCCATACACTCTCGAGCATTTTCTTGCCATTTGAAGTTTACTTAAACTCTGTTATAGTTTCGCCGTAAAATCGCATGCTGACCCACATACATTGATATATTTACGATTGCATTCTCCAAACGCAATCGATTAAGCCAAAATTGTCCAACACACAGAAAGATTCAGATGGAAACATGTGATTTTCACCACAGAACATCAGCGTAAGAAAAAGCACCAGCAGCCTGCGGCAGAAACGCCATTTTCTTCCACGGACCTTTTCGTTATCAATTCCGTTAAGGGTGACTTACTCATTTCTCTGACCACGTGAGTAAACGAAACTGGGACTCTCAAGGGGAAAATGCAGGAACATTTTAAAGCATCCTTAAGCGTGCCCATGGGAAAGCTCTCCCCATAGTGCTAAAAAAAACAACTTTAAATGATTGAAGTTGTCCTTCAGTAGCATGTTGATTGGATGGACGATTCAATTGAGGCCTTGAGTTGCTGTATTTCTTTTTTTCCAAAGCTTTCGCCGATCCACTGCATCATTGGGGAATGTAAAGAAAATATTTCACCATGCATGAAATAAAAGCAGTGTAGTTGACACGAACAATTTGAACATATTTTATTCTTATAGATTCCAATCCTAACAAGTTTTGAGTTAACATCGCCACAATTGGCCAACTCATATATTCTAATTAATCGTATCACTTACGTCGCTTTTATATCACGCATAGTAAAACGTTTTCTTTACATTCAGTGACGATGTCGTAGATCGGCAAAGCTTGGAATAATAAAGAAATACAGCAGCTCAAGGCCTCAATCGAATCGTCCTTGTAACCCTTTACACCCTAACATCAGTATGCATATTCTCCATACTGTTCTCTATACATTTCCTAGGATGCTGACAAGGAGAATTTGTTGAACAATCCAGAGCCTCTCCAGTTGGTGATCATTGCCTTTATTCTCATGACCTTAATCTGTGATTCTGGGGTGATATTTAGAGGAGAAATTAAATTCTGGTCACTCTTAAGGGTGAAAAGGTTAAAGATCTGTAACTTGGTTAAGTTCATTTTGAGGGGCGTTCCACGTCTGTTGTTGGTGAAAATGATGGAGATAACAGGGCAAAAACACACCAACCTCCTCACGAAGTTGGAAGTGACGGTATGGTATTGACGAGACGTGAGAAATCTATCTCAGTATCCAAAGGAAATTGCAAATCTAAAAAATCACATTCAAGTAAGACGTTAATCACTCAGATTTTATCAAATTAAATCATACTCTAGGTTAGAGCCTGCCATGCAGAAGTGAATTGATGCTCTTTTGAAAGTCATTGTATTATGAACCATTTTTAGATGTAACAAGCAAACATTGCATAAACCCCCTTTAACTACAGCTATTCTGTTTTCAATCTTCGCGCCTGTTGAATAAACTACGTTCACACACCTATACACACTGTGAGTTACAAAGTCGAAAGCAAAGAAACTCCGTGAATCCTTGGTATTTCCACGATACCAGGTCTGCGGAACAAAACCTAAAAGAATCATTAGGTGCATAATTAGCGGATGTGCTAATTAACTTTAATGTTTTCTTGCATTCTCGTGATTAACGATGCCACCTGCTCAGAATTTGTCAAGATTACTTTCCTGAAGGTAGTTCTTATTGTACCCGGTATTTCTCAATCAATTAAAAAAGACTTAAATTATCAAACTTTGGCCGATAAGATTACAGAATGCCTACGTCTAATTCTTAAAATAGTTTTTGGGGACATTTGACACTTTACCTCAGGGTGCGGAAAGGGGGAGGGGGAGGTGTTTTACATTGAATATAATCCTCGAAAAGATACCAAAAACTGATGTTTAGCAATGGCTAAGAGTAATTATCGTCTTGCGAGCGGTGAATTTTAGAATATAGTGCATCTATAGTAGTCCTCACAGTTTTTATTCTAGAATTACATTGTAGCTAGAGTGCCTTGTAGAGCGCCATTATTGTTCGCAAGCCAATGCAATTACGCCGGATGCCCGATTAGCGTGGGGGAAAATATCACATGACCCCTGGGGAATTCAGAGTGAATACATACATACTGGGGTAATTTGGTATAGTCAACTAAGTTGATACCGGAAATTGGCCATCTTAAAGAGTTAAAAAGTTGACGTTTCGAGCGTTAGCTCTTTGAGGATTGTGGCTGTTTCGCGATGATCACCCTGTAAGGCTCTGTAATATTATCATGATCTCCCTCATTTGCTGTCAGGTTCTATGATTCACCTTTCACCTTTCACCTTTAAACTCTGTTGGCGATGATTGGTCCTCCCTCCTTTTCCCTAAATACCATGTTATCCCCCCCCCGCCAAGGATCCTCCACGTCTCCCCCTAAAAACTATTCATCCTTCTCATTTCCTCCCCACCATCCCCTAATGTGATAGATATTGACAGCTACCTCAATTGGAAAAGGCCATTTTACAGGTGTGAATTTAGTTTCAAAGCTTTTAATTTGGAGTGAGGCTGAAGGTGATCTTGTTGTGACAGAGACCAGTATCTACTTAGCATGATAACAAAGTAATCTGCGTTTGAAAAGCAGCAAGGTTAGTATCATAACAAGGTCAACCTTAGCCTATTTAAGGGCTTGGCAACCAAGCACACAACTGTAAAATGGACTATTAAGTGAAAAGTAAGCATTACCTAAAATATTTGGGTACATATTATTCACAGCAATGGTTGCAGTCTGTCGCCTCACCAGCTTCCACTTCTTCCTCACAATTGTCATAACACACGTCGTTGCAAGCGGGATCTCTCTGAAAATCCCTTATCTCTTTGCCATTCATTTCTATCCCAAGATCGGCCAGCTTTTCTGTAAAAGGAAGCAAGGGAAGTTACGTATAAAATGAATTTGGCGATCGAGGGATTTTAAGGACAATTTTTTACGGCAATCACGTAAAGTAAAAATATATTAATAGAACTGTCACAGAACAGAGTTGACTCAAATTGGGCTTGTAATAAATGAGCCCTTGAAAGAGCCTTCTATAGTTAAGGAGGTTGTAATAATGATTAGCTTAATCCTACGAAAATGGGGCTTGATATAAAGGTCGTGTCTCAAGCTAACTCATGGATTAGTTGGCTTCTTTTTTCTTTGATTTTATAGCTACGTGTTTTACGTTAGCTCTTCCTAAAAATCTGCGCTCCAATTGTCAACAGTAAGAAAACAATGTAAGAACCGAGTTGATCTGTAGCCGCACGTCGAATGATGGACAAAATAAGAAGACCCATTAAATACCAATTAGTCGTAACTAGGATAAAATCTGAGGAACGAAGCATCATCATTTAAACGTACTTGTGAATAAGAACAGGACCTAGTAGTATGGAAACTGATAAGGGACAATCACAAGATATTTTGCAAATCCCAAGTTTTACATATTTTATATCGATTGTTCTCAAAGATTTTTCCACCATGAAAAATACTGGTCTTCATAAAATATTCTTTAATCGCGAGAAAAACTATGAAAATCAAGAAACTGTTTTTGAAATTGCAAGGAATATTTTTTGTTGTAATATGCTTGCAACACAGTCAATACGCAACAAGGATTCTGATTCGTATAAGGACTACGCTATATGGGCTGAACCAGGGAATGAAACTTCAGGAAAAAAAACTGATTTAGAGGAAAGATTTTAAAATCAGTGCGAAGATATCTAAAGCGGAAGCAAGTAAAATTATGAACCTCGCATGTGGGGAATTGCTAATTCTAGCAAAAAAAATTCGACCAAAGCATTATAACTAACTCAAACGCCACTGCGGAGAAATGTCCGCCCTCAAGGAAATTCAAAAAAGGTAGTTTAAGTTTTCATATTGTAATTTAGATTATCACTGTAATCCTACTTATTGAGAATGTCAGTCACAGCAGTTCTTACTGCATGATACCTTTGAGCGGCGATAAGGGTATTTTCGGATGACGAGCGCGTGACATCACCACAACCACCAAAGCTGCGAGTATGACAACATAAAGGGTCTTCATGATATCAGTGGTACCGTAGGTGAGATTCGGTGAGAAGTCTAAGAGGAATGAAAACAAATAACTTCATTGCATTCAAAACAAACACAACAGACTACTTGCAACAGGTCTTAGATTAATTCTGTAATTGATAAACTTGCCCCTCCTTTTAGAATCGTTGCTAGGGACGCAAGCTGGAATATTCGAAGCCACCACTAACAAAAGTTAATTGAAGAGAAAGAGAGGACAGGTATCTTTTTGAACAAATCATTTTAATTTGGAAGGCGACTGGCTATGAGAAGATTACTTTCTATTGGTCTCAACGTCTTAACTATTTTGCAGTTCGATAAAGGGGGTAAGTTTCTGAGGAAACTGTGGTGCTGCGTCGGTAGGAGAGTATAACAGGGATATTTAGTTTTATCAACTCAGTTGATAACGTAAATTGGCCACCGTGAAGAGTTTAAAAGCTGAGTTCAAGGAACTTTTAAGAAATCATGATTTCAGATCAATAAGCACTCACGAGATTGTTCTAATTTGCCTCAATCGAGTTTGCATTGAAAAAATTCATGCTCATAGCTCCGAAATAATAGTAATAGAGTCTTGAGCTTTTATGTTTTATTTTACTAAGTTAGATTATGTGAAAATAATCTAGAGGGCTGTTTATTTTGATTTCCTCTTTTTCACATGTATATGTACTTATCATTAACAAAAGATGAACAATGGAATTCTCTTGGGATCCTCAATATGAAAGCAAAATATACAGGCTAAAGAGGTCTACTGTTGGTTTGCTCATAAATTTCAGGACATGACTAACTCTTCGCCATCCAAACACTATCGTTTTTCAGTCGTCCGACAATGAACCTGCATGTTTTTAGACTGGTTGATTCGTTTTGTTCATTCCACTGTAAATGGATGATTTTAAATCCTTATGGGCCTGTTATTCAATTTATTTAAGAATTCCGATGAAATCCCATCTTATGCAAGATCTTCATGCTCTTTGTGTATCCTAACAATATGCTTTTTTGTGCACCTTTAAATAAGCCGTTTGTTAATATCTGCAGAAATCAGAGATGATTTTTGTACGATGAAATCACGTAGTGGAAAATAGAGTCTTACCTGCAGGAATTCGTCAGCTCAAGCAAAGTTGAAATGACTGATAACTTTGGGTGTTAGGAGATAAATGGCTCAGCTCGGTTAATTATTAAGATATTTAAATAACAATAAGAACAATTCGGGTCAAGAGAACATATTCCATAGCATGATTTCATCACGACTGAACGTTGTACAAAAATAGAAATTGCATTCTTGTATTGCGACAGAAAACTGTTGTCACAGAGAGAAGCCTGAAACCAAAATTGCGTTAATAACTGATATCTGGCCAAAATGGCTTCATCATGGGAAGATTTCCTTAAGGCCTATTTACACGGTACGACTTTGTCGCATGCGACAAGCTTACGACGGGCCTACGACATGACTCAAGAGTCGTAAGCGAGTTGTAGGTTTGATTTACACGAAACAATTCGTGTCGTAAGCCTGTCGTAGGCTTGTCGCATGCGACAAAGTCGTACCGTGTAAATAGGCCCTTATAAAACCTATTCTATTCTAAAACAAAGCTGTTGCCCTGAAATTATTCATTTTTATCTTTTGAGTTGATCATTTAAATTGCCAACCGTAAGGAGTTTTTAAAGGTGATGATTCGAGCGTTTACCCTTCGTCAGGGCGAAGGCCTACGCTCAAAATGTCACTTTTAGAAAAATTCTTACCTGCAGGGAGTCGTCAGCACAGGCAAAGTTCAAATGACTTATTGCCTTTGGCACTGGCTTATAGAATGTTTGGTTCGGTCAGTGACTTAAGAGATTTACACAATGCCATTAAATAAATTTCTTAATGGATAGGAACAATGGAAGTTTGAAGAACGGATTGGCTTTCCAGACTTCATTATAAACAAATGGCTTCAATTCGCATTCCTCTTGTATCAGACAGACCCTCTAAAAAACCGAAACGAACTGACAGACCAAAATTGACTCAATTTCTGATATTGAGCCAAAAATGGCTCCATAACTTAATTGTTCAGCCCCATAACTGAGCACTGAATTGACACTTGGATAGATAAAACATTCTTAGAAAATGCCGATATTATGCTGAAATCTGCATAGCTTAACAAATAAATAAAAAAATTAATTAAAGGGCTTTGAAAAATATGACGTCATCGTATTCTGAATGTCTAAAAGTATTGAAGAGTAAACAGTAGTTGTTTATCTATCAGCCACGTCAAAGTGGGGTGTTCGTGAATTTTGTGCCATAAAGTAATGTAACAGTCTTAGCCCTCTCAGTAAATGAGCTCAATACACTCACTTGTGCTCCCAGTGAGAGAAGTAATCTGTTTAAATCCAATAGTCTACGCAGATAATAGATGCTTTGTAGTTTTTGAAGTTTTAGCAATCTTGAATCAAATACCCTAAGGACTTGGTAAAAATTCCTGAGGAACATTGTATCCTTGACATCATGATTGTCCTCTATCGTGTTTCTGCTTTAATCATAGACTTCCGAATGACGTGATCTTTTCGAACAAAAGCCGTTTGCTAATCCCTGCAAAAATCCTGTGCAATTTTAATGGAAGATAAACGCACGCAGTAAAAAAAATAAAAAGACTGACCTGCAGTGAGTCATCAGCACAGGCAAAGTTCAGCTGAATTGCCTTAATTTCTGATATTGGGCCTAAATAGCTTTAGTAACTTATCATTATTACGCTGATATTATTGAGATTCTCAATGGGTTTAACCGATAGACGTAATATGGCCAAAAAACATTAATTAGCAGTGAGGAGTAAAAGTTGACAAATTTCACAAGTTCTGATGCTTCATATTCGCAAAATAGCTGCTGCAAATTTCCTTAAAAATTTTTGTCGCAAGGACCTGCTCTTCCTTCTTAGTTCGTTTCATATCGCAACATACAATGTAAAAATTAGGTGACCTTTCCACCATAGTAGAGGATTGAAATTTGCAAGGATTAACTTTTGATATGATACAATTCAAAAACCAAACGAACTAATGAAAGGAAGAGCTTCAGAATGAAAAGACCTCATTCTTTATTTGTCGGCCATCCTTATAAAGTGCAACGTCGGTGAACTTTGCTCAATAAATAAATGTCATTGCTCTGTAAAAAGATGGAATCAAATCACTCGTTGTTGTGGAGAGAGCATTTTTCTTCGTTAAACTGTCTGCACGAAGAATGAATCCTCTGTTACTTGTGAAGTTTAAGCGAGGATTCTACGTTCCATCAACCTTGAAAATATTGTTGAAGAACACTGTATCGGCGACACCTTTGTCCTTTATCATGTAATTACATAATTTAGACCGAACTTTGTTAAGAGCAACTGAAATTACTATTAACCAAGCAGGGCACAAGAAAAGATGGGTTCTGTTCTCGAGTGACCCGTCCTCTATAAAAAACGTCAAGTAAGAAATGGCTATCCTGGGTAGACTTTGTGTTGTCATAATTACGGTTATGATAGTCTTGGTAAGGTCACGTGTTTGTTATCCTAGACGACCAGAGTCGCTGTGGAGAGGTACATTCAGTTCAACCTTTGCCAGTTCTTTTAACCCTTTAACTCCCAAGATCTCATTAGTAATTCTCCTTACTGTTTGCCAAACGATTCTCATAACTTTACTTTGGAGAATTTGTACTGGATCAATTAGTAATCCCATAATTGATATTTTTCTTCATTCTCATCACTTTTCTGCTTGATATTGTATCGATATTGTGGGGAGAAATTTTGTCTTGGTCACTTACGGAAGTTAAAGGTTAACTCGCAAGTTCTAATGATTTATTTTGTCCAAACTAGCTGCTCCAGTTATTTTTCTGAACTATTGCGGAAATATAGTGTCATATAAAATGTATTCCCTTTACTTGTCATGTTTTTTTGCCCGCATCACCCTTTTCCTGAAGAAAGGATAAAGATTATGAAATGAGAAATGATGAGAGGAAGGAGATGAATTTTCTTTTAGAAAGATAACATCGAAGTAGTCGTGTATGTTGGAATAACTGCTAACAAGAGAAGGCTGCCATAGTTTATTCAAATTAAGTTAAACTCTATAACAATTGATACAAAGAGCCTACAGTGTGAAATTGAATTACTTCCTTTGAAATCAAAGTTATTTTATCTTCAAGTACTTTTAGATATAACATGCATACGTTGCACTGAACCCCTTATTTACAGCTAATCTGTTTTCAAATCCCTAACATTCCATTAGGTAGACTGCATTCATACACTAGTACACTACATGCTCATAGCAAAGAAATCCCTTGCGTTCTCAGTGCATCTATGATACTAGATCTGCGGCACAGAACCTGAACTCGAATCATAAAGTGGATAATCAGCGAATATTAAAATTCCCATCAATCTTTTCGTATATTTAAGGGATTTACAGGGTACCCCTCTAAGCATTTGTTTGGATATTCGTTTCTTAATGTTAGTCTTTGCGATGCTCTACTCCTCAATCAATTAGAAAAGTCTCGAATAAATAAACTTTTCCAAGTAATGTATCATTCATATCAAAGCTTACAACATGTTTTATCTGTTACGCTGCTTTGCTGAACGCGGTTTGAATTAGGTTTCTTCATAGAAGCTGCTTAAACTGATGTTTGTCGACTTCTTATTAAGCACGTTGAAAATACAAGTTCAGTTCAGATTTTTAGTCCTCTGTTTCCGATTTTTATTCAGTTAAACCCAGTTTATCGAAATATGTTTTGCTGGTGTAAATAAGACATAAGATTATAAACTGTTTTGTACTTCCTATTCCCAAATAAAATACAT